AATTGCAATTCATCTGCATTCGGTGATACTTTGCTAACGTATACACTGCACACTGTTTACCCATACCAATTGAATTCAATCCTACAACTCGATGCCACCTGAAGTACAGAAGAGTCACAGCAAGACGATTCTGTTAAGAATTGTAGAATTTGGACTAATGAATGGAAGGAAAAAAATCTGTTCTCTAGACTGCTGGTATAGTACAATGATATTTAGAGTTGGTATAGCACAACATAATATATTTAAAAGTATTAAATATTACGAAAGAGAAACTCTCGAAAAACACGAGCGACAGTGGTGACTTCGATGTCAAGTAAATCTTATATGTTATAGGAATGCTTAATTTTGAACAGTAGTCATTATGAAACAATCCATAATGCATAATATTTTGAAAACGTTCTAGTTTCGTATCATTTTAATGTCTATGGAGTAATGGAGACCGATACCTATGTAATTAATTTTGGTATTTAAAAAAACATACAGTCAAGCAGGCATTTGCGTAATGACATGCATTAAAGTGTTATGCCTTTATAGAAATATAGAATGTAGGAAACTAAATTCCACATCCTTAAACATTTCACTGCTTTTTTGAAATGGAATAAGCCGTATCCAAAATTTACAAACGATAATATACAAATCTTCGCAATACATGCGATCATACATTCATTTGAAAACAGCAAAACTATTGCACCACCACCAAATGCTAAAAACATTGCCGTAATGCCTAATGTTTTATATCAGTAGATTAAATTTTAAGAGTTTTTCAATTTTTGAAGCAGTTAAAAAACTGTGAGTAACTGATGAGTTCATGTCTAGCAGATACTATAAAAATCAATAGCAAATTCTGAAGAAGCAAGTTAGAAAATAATTTCCAAAAAAGTGGACTAAACTGTCAACCTGTCTTCCTCCTAACTTTATATCAAACATCTTTTCAAAAATATTCCCAGTCTTAATTAATGCGTGATCAATAAGCAACAGTATTTCACCTTACTATTTAAGCCAAGCAAAGACTAATATATTTCCTTTTTGCAAAGGTTTTCCAAAAATATATATCACTTACATCGTCTAAAAGCTCCAAATAATATATTTCGTGTCTGAAGTATGATAAAGAAGCCAGACGCTACTGTCTTACTATTTTACTGTGATCATCACGGAGCATTTATAGAAAACACTGCTTAATACTCATCTTGATGTGACAGGAAAATCTCCAAAAATGTTTACTACGAGGCTTAGAGAAAGATATCAGCATACGAGTAATAAATATATAGATCTACGAATGGTTTGCCGATTCTAACAAAAAAACAAGTATTTCTTCTCTGATCAGTGGTAAGAATTGTCTTCAGAGAACTGTGCGAAAGATAACAGAATTAATTCAACTGAAGTTTATCTGTTTTGCCTCCTAAAAAAACAAAAAAGAATGCCCGTTTTTGATACCCACCAATTAAAATATTTTGTTATATGCTTGTTTTCAGCCAGCTGCGCCTGGAAAATTAAAACGGCTTTCAAATTGTCCTTTTGAGCTATTTTCGCTTAGCACAAACTGTATGAAAGCACTCTTCCGAGTATAAAAATGAATGCAAAAAATCAAATATCAAAAGAAGCAAACATCAAAGCTGTGATGTTCCTGTTCAATCTTACCATTACTTCTATTGCGGGTCGCATGGAACGATACATAATTAGAACTAAAACAAGTAAATTAAAAATGCTCTTTTACTGCAAATATTTAGGCACACAAGAATAAATACTAAGATAAGGAACTTGGTAAACCACTTTTCAATAACATCGTTGTGTTTACGAAAAAATCTACTACTCTGAATGTTTGATTTGAAGTCTTTTGTCCATCTATGGCTGGCTTACATTAATGTAAACAGAAACTAAATTCAGTTTTGTTCGCATCTCAACATTAACGAAATCTTTGTGGGAAAGCTGATAAGTATTGACTTGAATGAGGTTAACATGGAATTAAATGAACCAAAACAATGAACTATAAACATTTTATGAGATATAAAGACCTTTTTTATGAGATATCATAAGATACAAACATAAAAAAAACTACCAAGATTTACAGGAATTGAGATTATTATTGTTATATTGTTGTAATCAAGAAACATTAAAAAATTTCATAGAGGAAGGTGAACACCGCATACTAGAACGCTTCTATAAAAAATACAACAGACTCTCCCTGAATTATAATTGTTAGTAACATTACTTGGGGGCATACCAATCCTCATTTCACATTTTATTTTTCTCCCGTCGAGATAAATGATAATGTAGTAACAGAAATGGACTGCATTCGTAACTAGCTGAATGATGCATATATCTCCGTTCAATCTCTGATACGGCAGTTGAAGACTCCTCAAGACTCTCTGGTTCTTTTAACATACATAGTTGCATTCAGATAGTTCTCGTGAAATAAACATACGATGTTTGCCACTGAATTTCCAGAAGAAATAAAAGTAAGGATATCCTATTAAAATTACTATGAAGAATTTACTTGAATCTAAAAACGCATGAACAACTTTCCTTACCAACTAAAGGACATTAAATTCATCAAAAACTAACCCAACAATCGCAAATTATTATTTAGTGCAGAAATGACGGGCAAAAATATACCTCTGATAGTATGTCGTGAACATAATTACTGACAAAAAAAAGCATACAAACAAGCCGTACAAGTATTTACTAATGACAATGAACAAACTTTAGTCTTAAGACAACCAAAGACCACATGATCGAATCCGGAGTTCTTAATCACACCTCAAACTAATGCAATCGCACCGGTTAATGAAGTAGGCATGACAACATAACCACTATGGTCTTTCTCGCCTTATTTGTTGGGCAACTACCAACACCACTCCTCAGACGGGGAATCTATCACCACATACGTAGGGTAAGCGTTGGATCTCTTGTCATCATGCGGAGTACAAATATGCCCACAGAAAGTATCAATAGATGATCTAGTTGATTAAAGTGAGTGGTTCACTAATATTTCACTTTCCAATGGAAATTCAGACAACCAGAGAAATTCATGCAATAGGAAAACTCCACAGATGAAATGTTCCAACGTGTAGAACCTCCGACCTCCACTCACACACTTGTTGTTTACTCTCATAGTGTTCATTCTGAAGATCATCTCGACAAATGAAGTTATTATTTCCTTTCACTCTTTAACGATAAATTTGAAGAGTTTGTGCAGGTGTACTTCCTCTATGTGAACGACAATTGAAGTGAGTGAAAATAAACATCCAGAAGACTATAGCATGTTTTTGGTTTGCAAGACTAGACTTCTAAGTCCAATACCAATCAAAAAATTGAATCCGAAGAAATTAGTGGACAACTCATGTGAAATGTCTCAAAACAAGATGAGGGGAACTTTTTCATTCATTCAAATTTCCTTTTAGGAGAAATCAACAGGAGCACTGAGTATGCAATTAAAGAGAAATCACTTGTTCGCTTGCAAAAAAGATATTACGCAACAAGGAACTCACTAGACTATCTCAAATGTGATCTTCCATGCAAAGCATTCACCTCACTGTATCCAAAAAAAAAAAAACTGTTTTATTAATGTAATTTTGAAGCTTTAACGGTTCGGAGTTCTTTTCAAAGCCATATGTAGTAGCCATATGTTCTTTTCAAAGCCATATGCACACATATACATACATACATACATACACACACACATACACATACACATACACACACACACACACACACACACACACAATGTATAATGACTAGAAAACACAAAGTACATCAAAGTAGAAATAAATATAACTATAGTGTAGGCTTACCTCATGATACAAATTAAAGGAGCAGTAAAATGTTTCTAAAACCAAGAGATCAGAACCTAAATTTTGCACTTAATTTGCTAAACAGTTTGGGATAAAGCGCAGCAACGGTGAAACACACAAGCGGAGTGCATCGAGGCAACGCCAATCATGTTAGATTTTTTCAATATCATCGTATTTATAAGACACTACAAACTTTGGAATTTTGTGACCCATATGCCGAATAAAATGAACGTAAAACTTTCATTAATTTAATACTGCTCATGATAAACTGAATTTAAATCAGTATTCTCCTTCACCCACACAACCGTAATAAAAATACTATGAAGAAAAAACTACTATATTACTGAAAAAGTCGGATATTCCTAGCATTATAGAAAAGATTCAACATTTCAACGGGTAGAAATGCATTTTTTTTTTTCTGTGAAAAATAGATGCGCATACTTCGCTTCATCCTTTCCAAATCTACGAACTCAGATTAGTAAAAACCAGTTATATGCCATTCATTGATACTGAAAGATGTCGCATAAAAATTCAGCTTAAAGATTTAAAAAAGAACAAATAATAATGCATTCATAGAAAATCCGTTTCTGCATGAAACCAGTAGTTGCAGAGAATCAAAGAAAAAGATGTGGCGATCCAAAAATGCATTCGTTCTTTGAAATGAGCATAAAATAAGGAAAACATTTTTCGTCAAAAATACATAAATGGATTCCATGACATTTCTTTATAAATCTTCCAATTAAAACGAGAAATAAAAGAAACATATCTCAAGGTAATAGCCATAACCTCTGTTATAACAAAACGAAACTATGAAATCAGTGCGTCGAAATTAGTATGGAACGGCCATTTATGATAAACCATAATAACACACACACACACAAAAAAAAAAAAAATGAAGTGTGCCATGGAATATCTTTCTTCCAAGTGAAAAATAAAGGAATTCGAGAAAAAACAATTCATAGTGATTCAGTATATTCCCACAGCACTCATCAATCATAATAACTAACAGCAATTCCCAGAATTAAATAACTTAATTAGAACTTTCGGGTAGATTTAGTAAATCTTAAAAAAAAAATGGTTTTAAAAATCTCGCCTTCATTAATTCTCTGAATAAATATATTTATCAAGTGACTTCACATCCTAAATAATTGAAGAACATCAAAAATCACCATTTTTGGACAATTAAAAAATGAATGATACAAATAAATTCTATCTAAGAGATGCCCATTTCATGAAACTTGGAACTGTCCTGCACGGTATATTTTCGCATATAGCTTTGATATTCAGTGCACGATCTTCAGTTAATAAAACAACATTTCGATAAAGTTTTGTTAGCTGTTCTGTATCCATCATAGATACCGATGATGATTGAGCTGTTGCTATGGCATTTGGAGGTTTAGCTCGAGTTTTCGCAAAGTTCACACAGCTTGACAGAATAAAATCGTCATTCACTGCCTGAAATTTTATTCTGCTTCTATCTTGATAACCTTGATAAATTATGTAGATTTTAAAACTGGAAGAATAACAATAACATTTGAATATTTACGTATAAAAGTGATACAGAACGTAGAAGAGATAGACTAACTTTTGTAATCTTTGTTATTTTATTTTTCTGTATTGCAATTTTTTCCCCAAGAAACATCTCACATTTATGCTTCTAGGTATTCTTAAAATAGAAAACATGAAAACGAACTTTCAATTCTCCTGAAGCGCAAATTTCCTCCGTAGCAAACATGAGCGAAGTTAGCAAATTTCCTTTACTGGTTATTGTGTAGACCTGAGGTACTTGTTTGCCAACCAAATCTTTCAGATAAGCGACTGCCTCTTTCGCTCGTTCACCAACCCAGTAATCTTGAAAATCATCTAACACTCCAACAGCGGATTTTGGCGAAGGAGAAAGACGCGAAAGATTCTCTAATTCTGAGAAAACTGAAATTTTTGAACTTTCACTTTTACTCGTAAAGAAAGGCGAAAATTGAATGTTGAAATCGACAGATATATTTTTAAATAATACCAGTTGTTGGTACAAGTACAGTGAATCGGTGACTTTCAACAATTTTTCTAATAGACGCCAAGTGGTCAATAAACGTATTCGTATCTGGCACCAAATACTTCGGACGCACTTCAATAATCACTCGATTTCCCATCGTTTCACGTTCCAGAAGCTTCTTGAAATTAGTACTTCGACTTTAAGTTCGAAAAAACTTGTAACTGCATTTCTTCCCATTTCAATATTAGTCCGCTCTTTATATCTGATATATCCATTTTTTTTTTCAAATAAATCAAGGATTCAAAAAAATTGAAAGGTTGAAAACTTTCTAATTTTGGAAACATACCTGTTTTACTTGATTTTCGCGAACCGTTTGTCTATAATGTTTGTACTCGTCGGAAAAATGACTCTGAAAAATAATGCGTAATGATGAACACAATAAGAAAAAAATTCATTGTTGCACATATTACATGTGAATTAAGAAGATACAGGTGTTAAGAAAGAACTTTTCATACTATGAACACAAAAAATGTATATCGAATTTGCAAACTTACTAAATCTTGCTTCATTGCCTCATGTGAAAATTCTAAGTTATCAAACTGCCGATCAAAGTCAGCCATAGATTTTCTTGTTTCTGTACTTTGAACGGTAACTGGTGAAGTACAATGGGTTGCAGCAAAACAACGCAAATACTCATCAAATCCAAAGCACGGCAGTTCTGAGCCATCCAAATATTCTGCTGTTGATAAAAGGGACGATAAACGAGCATGAAGAGCCAGAAGAGATAGCTAGAATTACAAATTTTTACTGGATAAGAAAACTTCTGACACGTGATTTAGGTTGGTGTGATTCATTTAGTCAGAATAATTTCTAGTTGGGAACAAGAAGCCGAAAAAAATTCCAATCATTAAAATTCTTAAAGGTAGACGAAGAGATAATCGTGAAGCCTTTCAAGGTTTTTACCTTTGATTCATACTGATTCGAAAGAAAAATACTAATGAGACAAATTTAAGCTATTTTTTTACAAGTTTCTTACATTATTGCGAAGATCGATGTTTTCTAAGGACAGCATCTGTAACGATTTTGGCAATGCAGTAAACACATCAATAAAAGATGCCAAAAAAACTGCTTCCGGAAGTATAATTTCTACATATTCTTCCGATTTTCCTAAAAGACTTCAAATGGTATAATGAGATGTTACATTTAGATTTTCTTCCATATAAGGATCAAAAATATGCAACAATGAAACACCAAATTTTATTCCACGCTTTGTTTCATCCAATGAAGTAAAAACAACTTACCATCAGATTGTGTAACAGTCCTTGATAAAATTCCTCTAGATTCAGCGTTTACTAAAGTATTCGCAACATCGGCAAATAATTTCCAAGTATCAACTTGTATAAGTGAAGTTTGGATGGATTCCAACGATGGCATACTTCTGTATAAACGATTTACGGACGGCATCGACAACCACTCAGAAATAACAAAAACAGCTGGCAATACTCGACGCGTCTGGAATATTGTAACCTTAGCATATGTACTGCATGCATTTAAAAGGAAATTGCTGTTATTAAAATCATTTCGATAAAAAACCTTTGATGGCAAGCGAACAGAACCGTTCAGAATTTTCGACAAATCTGACAACACATCGTACACTGGTTTTAAAATTACTCCGAATAAACTTAAAACCATTTGTACTGCTTGCTGCTGTTGTAAAGAACAAGTTCCTGGCTCACTATCTGAAGTGAACAATAAAACGCCATAAACTGAATTTGGTTCATTTCATTATGTTCAAAATACTGATCCTACAACAAAACTCAGCTTCGTTTCTCACAACTTCTCACACTTCTGTATAGAAATGTGGGAAAAATCCTTCATAACAAAAACACTACTAAAACACTCACCAACTCTTACAATCACCATGTTAAACAGAGGAGCCGCAATCAGTTGGAAAGGAAACTTACTCATATTTTAAAAGCGCTATAAAAATTTTATGATTTTGCAAAAAAAAAAAAAAAAAAAACTTACTTTTAAGAGTTAAGCTATGAACAGCGTAAAGAAAAAGAGTGCACAGTTGTATGAGGTGTAAAGACGAAAGTGGACACTCATCACGTGATATTAACTGTGATAGTTGGAATAATGCTCGTTCACTAATACTGTCATATTCCTCCATCCCAATTTTAGTAATAAGAAGTCCGGCTGTATGAAGCAAATATGGAACTGCCTGGCGGAACAACTAGAAATTTAAATATGAAAAATGTTTCTCTTTATATGTTTTTGTAGACCGCTTACTCATTTATGGAAAACTAATAAATCCAGTGCAATCTAAGTCATCGGCAAAAAAAAAAAAAAAAAAAAAAAACAAATTATAAATTGAAAATGGTTAAATTCAAACTTCAACAGTGGAAACTGATCGCAATGCGTGGATAGCTCGATGGTCCGTAATATCAGCATAATTCCGAGAGGAAAGTTTTCCATCTTGTGCAATCCAGATTTCTTGTGGCCTATCAGTCCGAGCCGCAGCTGCTTCCGCTTCACGTATTGCAGTATCACCAACACGTGCACTGAACTCTATCTCAAATTCACTTACCTACAAAAGATATGCGAAACTATACAAATAGAAGTTATAGATTAAACTCTAACTTCCTTAGGATCCTGAAAGCACTGGTCCTTTTACTGAACAAAAAAGTAAATTAGCCACGTTGGGGCAATAGAATAGAACAAACTTTTGTTCCAACGAGACTGAATTAATTTTGCCCAACAAAGAGAAGTCGAACTTTAGTCCTCCTTAATCTAACAGTCTCGATTATATCCATCACAATATTATAAAATAGAGTCAAACTACAGTGCTTTCAAAATTCATACGAACATTCAATTTCATGTAAGAAAAAATCAGTCAAACATTCTCTATTTATATGCAAATGCTAGTAAATGTTTCACATTCTAATCATTATCACTTCAGCAAACTATTTCTTTAAAAAATCTCAGTTTCTCCCCTGATTAATCGAAACAAAGCAGTGTTTATATCACCAACGCTGTATTACAGAGCTTAGTATGTGATATAATTCAACTAATTCAATAGACCTTTTTTTGAACATGATTGAAAGCGGTGAAAAGTGGTTGTCGCGCGGTTTCAAAAGGATAGCGTGCTGCCAATGCCCGGACGTAGTAGAATATTACATCAATCCATTTTGACTGTAAAAGAAAAATTTATTCATAATTTTAAATAATTTTTTTTTAATATGACAAAACATTACTTGTACTTGTGGAAAATGCTAAAAAAAATATAGACAAATTACATAACAGCAACTTATGCAAACCTGCACAATTTACAAGTTTTCGACAATGACCATAAATTGTTAAAAAATAGTAATGTCACGGGAACACTTCTCAGAAGAGCAGATATTAACAAAATAAATATCACAACTAACGACGATAATAGAATAAGCAGTGAAAATTAAAGATAATACTTTTTAGCAATATTTTTTCTTTCAATAGGAGCAATATTTTTTTTTTTGCAATACGATTACTACCCTTATGTATGGAATATTCTTAAATTAAAAAAAAAAGCCACGCTTGTTGAACAATCCATATTATACAATAATAACTCATACAAAATTAAAACTTTTTACTAAAATACATCGTTTAATGCTAAAAATATCACCGTGTAAATTTGCTTGAGAAACCGCCTTAACTGTCAGGGTCAGTGTTTGTTTAGGAGTATAAATGGTACTTAAAGAAGCAGCGATTGCAATGTCAGCCAAAATGATCTCGAATTAGCATTCTTTGTCCGGTTTTAAAAATCCTTTATTTTTGTTAAGGTTTAAACAAAAATATCATTTGCATGAAGGATCCATTAAAAACTCAAGAATGATTTTAATCAACGATACTGTGTGTACTTTAAATAAATAATCAGTATTTTATTTTGCGTTGTGTTTATTATTATAAAATTGAATCAGATCTCTTGCCCACTAACTCCAAATGATATTGAGGAGAAAGAATAAGAAACTGTAAATTTGTTACAACTTTTATAAAATACTTCTCCCTAATGTTGTAATTTGCCTAAAAATGAGAAACTCTGTAACTTGAAGATCCAGCCTACATAAATTTATCTGTATTACTTAGGTAAGATAAGAAAAATCCCCTTAGAGATAGGAGTAAAACTCTCGCCCAGAATTCAGTTAAATGGAAAGTCAAGCAAATGAGTCAATCAGTCGAGGAGTCTACTATAAAATATGGATTCCTGAGTGTTATTTTAAAATTAAAAAAAAACCAAATAGTTATTAGATTTGAGTGTAAATTAATAGACCTCATAAACAGCGAGGAGAGCCAACTGATTGTAAGAACGTCCGTTCCCTGCAGCCAACTGTGCTGCTTTTTGATACCACCTAAAAATTCAAAGAAGATTATTTTTCGAGAAGAAATCAATCAAAAATTTATTGAAGAAATTTAAATGAATTAAATCATAATTATTTTTGTGGAGAGAATGAACATAGAGAATTGTAACATACATTTTGATTACTTCTTATAATATGGATCTCAAATTAGAAAATGAAAAGCATAAACTTACACTCTTGCATGTGAATAATCTTTAATACCTGAAACCATGCTACTGTAACGATGCAAATCACCAACTGAAACTGCTAGTCTTTGAGCAGATAACAGAGCTACCTGAAAATGCAAAGTACTCTAATTGCACAGAATTTTTGAAGGCGAAAAAAGGTAGCAAATGTCTGATACACCTCACTATAGATGTGATAGAATGACATTTCCTTTGAAACTAATGAAAAAGATCAATTACTAACGAACATTATTCATAATTTATCTTTGATTTCTTGATTGTTCTTGATAGTCAGCTATTCCGTCTTAGTAGCTATTAAGTATTACTGATTTAATAAAATTAGTGTTTGGAAAATATGATACCAACTACAAGTTTTTGTCCGTTATTCTAAAATTAATGCCAAACATTTTGCTTTGGGAATTAGCGATGAAGACGAAAACATCAAAACGGAAGCATTAGGCCAAATTGAAAATCACGCCAACCTTAATGATGTGGTCCGTTGCTTCATGAATCGCAGAATCAGTCAGTACACATCCAACGAAATCATCTGATGGTAGATTTGAAGGCCAGTACAGATAATCATCGATAATAAAACCAAATGCTACTTCATATTTGTTCAACAGCAGTGCATAAAAAGCTAGACCCTGTAAAAAATAAATCAGAAAATTACAAGCAGTTTCAGGTTTAAACTGAACACTGAAATTAATAAAGTAATTTTTGTAAACTAATATCAACTTTTCTCATATTTGGACTATGTTCTATTCTACCGTCATGTTTCAGCAATGCTATTTTATCTGCTTAATAATTTTGAAAGACTAAAAATTATCAGACTTCCGGGGCGAAAATTTTGTGCTTAGACCAAAAAATATGATTATTAGTCTCTAATTCTTTTAAAAATGTCGCCGTGCTCGCTATCGTCACTAAGGAATGCTTGAGTAGCTCCCAGGTCTTAATTTCAACTTTAATTCCGGATTACATGATAGCTTCAGGTGGTAAGCAAGACAACTGCAAATCAAGCATTGCTATATTTGCTAATATACGATTGGTAGGCAAATATTTTATATATTTCTCTGTCGAAAAAATCTTATTTTTCAAAAAGAAGTTAAGAAATATAAAACCTGCTGGATAAGTTTCGACAAATTAGTGCGAAAAATGCGAGAGGAATTCCCCGTTGAATTACTTGCAGCGCGCAGAGCTTCTATGGACGTATAAAAGCACTGTTTCCATAAATGTTGCTCCAGATTCATTGTATAAGTATAACTGATATTTCTTGTCACAATTGATAAATAAAGTTCCGATAATGATTCACTGGAATAATTATATGTAACCACTATTAAAACCTAAATCTTCGTGAAGACGGGAGTTCTAGAGGACTTAGATTCTGGCACATTTGATCATTTGTGTGATTCTACTAAAATGAAATCTCATTGTCTTTTCACTTCATATATAGTCCAGTTCATTAATACCAACCAGGTACAGTCGTGGAACTCAAAAAAAAAAAAACGATCTTTCTAACATTTCTCATTAGACAGCACTACTACCGCTTCATATTATGTTTTTATATTATAACGACATCATTAAAAATTTCCCACAATGCAGAAAATCACGAAAAATCTAATGAACCTGGCTACTAGGATTTCTTCACCAGCACTTAGATCCGCAAACTCTGTTATTCGCTCGATCAACTGATTAATTGTGTCATTCAGTATCTGAATTTGTGGACCCTCTTTGCATGAAATTTCTAAGTGTATTGGCCATTCAGTAGGTGGTAATTCCCTTCGAAATCTATTACTTTTCGTCCTTCCCAATGATGATTCTGAAGCTTTCAGTGGTTCTGAAGCATTATGCATTTAAATTTCAAAAACCAACTAAAACCTGGAAATCTATGCAATTGAGATGCCCTAGTTGGAAAAAAAATGAAATATCTAGTTTCTTTTTTTTTTTTTTGAGAACATATAAGTTTTTATAAGGGAACATATAAGTTTTAAAACATAAAAACCAACCATTTGAAAGTTCCGCCAGGAGAGTTGCTGATCCAATGGATACGGATGGTACATCACAATATTTCTCTTCCTCTCGAAAGTTTCTCGACGCAACATTTTTCAGTCCGCTAATACCCTTGATGGGTGCAGACGATGTCGCTTTCAGGATATTAGATGATGGGGCACTAAAGTAAAATCACTAAGAGCTACACATTGAAGCTATAAGAATTAACAATATTAAAATATCAGTTAAAATTATCCATAGCAAAATCCTCACATAAAATTTTTATTGTAATACCTCAAGTCGCTATTCCTGTTACTAGTGCGCGTATTATTCCGAGTATACTGTGAAGTGGTAGATCTATGCTCCACAACTACTTCTATTTCTCCTAGATTGTGCTTCCTGAATAATGCAATATGAAAATTCTGTATTAGATATTTTATTATGAAGTTATCGATTTTTACAGAAGCAGAAGACTTCACAACTGAAAAGTTAAAGAAGCTAAAGGCTAGAAAATAAACGAATAAAATAAGTAAAACTGGAACAAAAATACTTTAATTCGTCCTTTTCATTTCACCAATCTCTTGAAAACTAACCTCATTTTCCACCGATTTTCGCGTTTATTTCGTCCTCTATTTTCATGTTCGTCCCGGTGTGTGTTATTGATAGTTGAATCATCTGATTTGGGAACTAAAAAACAAAAAGGATAAATTTTCTTACTATCCCAATAGTCTAATTGAAATTTTTTCAGCATGTTCTGAAAAAAAAAAGTCTTTTGAATAAAAAAGATTATAAAATGTCCTGTGAAAAAATTTCATACTTTCTTGTAAACACAAATAGAGATGCATTTTCCACGGGTCGAAAAAAAAAAAAAAAAAAAAACCTTGGTTAAGATTCAGATTAGAGCTTTCTACTTTGGTTTCATTGTCTTGCGTAGAAAAATTTAATGTCGTCTTTCTATCACTGTTAGTTGGTGTTCTTTCACCACTGCCACTTTCCACGTCACTCTGTTCTTCGATACTTTCGGCAATACTTGATGTTTGACTTGTGAAACTATCTGTTAAAAACCAGGTTCAAAAAAACCGCTTTGTAAAAAGCAAAAAAAAGGAGTCATGATGGACCTTTGCAAATGCAAATACGCTTTGAATCAACTATTAAATTCAAAAATTTTTAGGAGAAAGTAAAATCACCATTTCGCTGTCTTGACAGATCAGTAAAACGACGTCCACGCCCAACCGATGGAAGCTTAACGTTTCTAGAGTATAAGCGACTAAAACCATTACTACCATTGCTAGCTCCTGAACGATTTTGAAATTTAGAAAGAGATTCGAGAGCACGTCGAGATCTTTTATTCTGAGAACCTGAGGGGTTTGTTTGTGATGGATGTTTCTCAGCTGTACGTCCCTCTTCCTCTCGTTCTTTCTGAAAAATTTTACTTTGTCTAGTTTTCTTCTCATCGAATTACGTGGCTATACATGAATGTCGCATCAACGAAATTTTTCAAGTATTCAGAAAAGCTATTTTAATGAACATTAATACTAAAGGAATTATTTTTTTTTAAAGCTACCTTACGTCGTTCCTCAGCTTCCACTTCTGAACTCCAGTCAAATGAAGCCAAATCGATCGAATCAAGACTAGCATATAAGTCCTAAATGAAAACCAACTGAATTATATTAATTTTGCTTTTATAAATTGATCTTCAGAGTGAGCACAATCTTTCTAAAGGAAAAAAAAATAACTAATTTGCTTTATCGTATCTCCACGAAGTTCGAAAATAAGAAAGCAACAATAAATATTCGAAGAAACCATCTATGTCAAATAAACAGAATTCCAAGAGTGTGAATGTTTGGAAAAAAGCCAAATCTTAGCAGCAAAAGACTACTTATAGATAATTCATATTCCCACTATAACGATAAACGAACTAGGATGTTCCCCGACAATGAACCCTAACTTTAAAAAAATAGAACATCTTTTAAATAGACTTTGGGGATGACTTTAACAGAAAAGAAGAACAAAGGTGACCTCGACAATGTAGATTATTCATGTTTTCTTGTATTAAAAACTTCCACATAGAAAGTTAGTGGCTATTTTTACTTATATTTCATATCTTATAAACATTATATTCTAAATTAAGAAAACGGCTAAAAAACCTGAAAGGATATATGCTTTGATACTGCTTTAGATTTGTTCGTCAAAATTTCGTTCCTTTCAGCAACCTAAAAAAATCAAGAATTTAATCAAACAAATACCATGCTCGTGTTCAAATGATCTAAAATATTTAGTAGCTCCGTTAATTTGATTCTTATTCATTTCCATTGCACGAGTGAAAAGTAATAAATTAATAGAAATCTCTGTCTCTCCCCTCTATACATATATACACCAAAAAAGTTCAGGCCTCTAGATTATGCTTAACTTAATCAAAAAGATCGTGCAAGGAACTAATAGTCTCAAGTTCTCCCAAGTTCCACTGATTTAAAGGATTACATGGAAATAAGCCTTAATAGATATTTTTACTTTTTGTTTGTTTGTCTGTCTTTTTTTTTTTTTTTTTTTTGATTTTTGTATAGATTTACACATGCTAAGCAGACTAAAAAAGAAACTCGCATTTTCGAAACGCGTAATATGTATTTTGCATAAAATTCATCTAACTGATTTTTAGTTAACATTACATCGAAAGACCTGATTAGTATCTTGTGGTATATTACTAGTTCGGTCGATACAACTGTTTTTGTTGTTTCGATGGCGACAATGCTTGAAATCTTCCGACTGATTGCTTCTGAAAGACCAGTCTCGCTGACGATTTAGTGGACTACGACGGTCAAAGCTTGTTCGGCTTAGACCAGTTCCATCAGCGTATAGCGGTCCCTGAATGAAATTTAAGAAAAATATAAACAGAACAACAATAGCGCACAATGACAGTTTTCTGAAATACTTTACAGATTCTACTGGTTCAAACAGACAACCAACAAAAAAAAATGTTTGCTGGCAAGCCCTATCTTTCCATATTTTATTACCGTGTACTGATCAAAAAATCATCAGTGATCATTACGACGAAACCAAAAGGAACATTGTTTTGCTCATTTAAATGAACCTTCTCCATATATATTTTTAAATGACGAAACCCCCTATATTTTTCTATAGTTTCCTTTTATCTATCATTAGGTGATAAATTATGTGAGCTAATACGGATCTGATAGATCGGAAAATACTTATGGATTCGATTAAATAACATCCCTCATCAAACTGTGACTTTTAGTGTTACAGATCACCTGCTTTGTACATTTATTTTTACATTTATTTTTACTGGTTAAATTTGAACCACTACCTACCATCTGTCACTATAACACAATCAAACAAAAAACTCCCTTACATAGTCCAAAAGCATTTCTTTTTATAGCATTATTAGAAAAGAATTAGTTCTAAAATTTTCTAAACTGTTCTACACATCACCAAAATCATAGAGCAATGATAGGGTGAAATATTTGTTTGGGTTACGCCTTCCATTTCCACTGCAGTAACTGTCTATTGTGACAACAGTATGTCGTCAATAATGAGTACTGTTTCTTCTGGTAACTGTTACTGTTATTCTAAAAAAGTGAAACAAATTTCTCACTATGGATTCAAGAAAAATTTCTGATGAAATGACATTTTGATTTTTTGATACTTTTCAAATGTGGTGGGAAAAATATAGAAGAAAATACATGAGAATTGAACATAAACTTATTAGCGATACATGAAATATCAATTTACTCTAATTTTTCTAATTTAAAAAAAATATTGAATAAGCTATGTTCCCGGAAACAAATTTTAAAAAAAGAGTATTAAAATACTGAGAAAAATGAACGGATATTAAAAATTAAATAATATTCATCAAGAAGTGTGTGTCCAAGATGTTTCCCAACAGCTGAAAAAATCATGTCCAGAACAAAAAACGACTTTGAAATGAAAAATTTAATCTCGAATTCAAAAACCAAATGATTAAGACCAATTCAGAAAACAAAAATACTAACACCTGGAAGAGCTGAATTTTGATCGAATGTTTCTTTTTGATTCCGGGAAGATACTTTGCTTCCAATTTGTGAACTTGCAGGGCCATTACAATGATATATTTCATTATCTGTAGAACAGCCTTCACAAAGTGATTCAGAGCTCTAAAATATATCACAATAAACTGTAAGCAAACTTAAAACAGCAAAATAATACGAAATGTTTCAAATTGTTGTTAGAGATCACTGAAACAAATAATTCTCGAAAATCTAACAAACAGCGTTGCTTAGTTTTGATAGGAACGGATAAATCTTTTGCATTCTTTTTTTTAAAGATAAACAGCGCACGTCAATATTATCAACATATCTATCAACACACATATAACAACAAATATAGGTTAAGATTGTCTTTTCTAAAGAACTGACTGCAAATATGCGTGGCAGCAGTCCAGAGTCTTGCCGTAGAAGAATCTGGACTGTTGTCGAACACAGAGAAGTGAAGTATAGCACAGATTACCAAGAAAACTAAAATTTCCTAAATTAGTCTTTGAATTAATTGAATTAAGAAAATTAAAGGCTATGCTCACGTTCTATTCAGAACAATTAGATACAGTTCAAGTAAATAAATACCAATGCCGATTTAAGCACTAAAGGTGAAAATAGGGAAAAAACATACGTAACAATTGTTAGAACTGGAATATTTTCGTCTGCCAGGTCGTCTTTTTGGAGAACCAAAATTGTCTGTAAGATGATCGTGAAACCTGTTGATGCTGTTGCTGCTTTTTCGCAGTGATTCACTAGAATTTTCTCCCACTTTGTATGTGCCACCATTTAATGAACAGTTGCTATTGCGTAGCAGACTATCAACATGAGAATTCAAATTAACATAATCTGAAAAAATACGAAATTTAAACTGTTAAGCGAGACTATGAAAATTTAAGCAATCCTAGATACAAGAAACATAGCGCACAGATACAATTAACCCACCCATTAAAACTATTTCTTCTCATGACTTTTCATAAATATTATTTTGAAATCGCTTCACATTTAATAGAAATGAAAAAATCATTAGCAAAATTCTTCTGGCACTTATTACCAGCTGACAGAATGAACTCTGATCTTCCTAGAACTTCTCGAAATTCATGCTAAACCCCAAAACAGCAAAAATTTACCTTTTACAGTATTCACTGACTTCGCTAAATGTTCGGTATTCGCATTTTTCTCTCTGGAATCCACCTTTCTGTCAACTGCAGCGGTCCTTAACATTCTAGGACAGTAAAGCTGCATAGTAGGGCGAACCTTACGTGTTCTATCATTTCGCGTTGTTTTTGGCGAATCTTTAGACATCTGCCCATCAAGCAAATAGCAATATGAATTTTATTCCCTCAAAAACAGAAATTTATTCTTTTAAAATTATTTTCACTCATAGACATGAGAAGTAAAACTCAAACTTGAAAACATAATTTCTTTAAAATTTTGAAGATCCAGGAATTTTCAAGATGCTGAAAAGCACTTTATCTACAATATCATTACCATAACATACTTTTTTTGACTTCGCAACTGTAATTACTTTTCTCTAAAATAGCTACTACTAACACTCTTAACCAAATAATGTCTGAAATGTGCCACAAACCCAATAATGTACTTATATTTTGGAAGTTTACATTACACTGGAAACAGGGATGGATGCATTACATGAAAAATAAGTAATGCATATGCAGGTCAAGACGTAAAAATGAACCAGTACAAATAAGTGAAAATACTACAAATATCTACCAACCAGTCGGAATGATTCCCCAGGTTTTCTGGGTCTCTTTTTATCACGGAAAACGAATGAAATTATTAAATCTCTTCCGCAGCAATTGCCATTCTTCCTCGGACTGTACCATCAGTTATGGGTCACTGAGTAATATTGTCAATGTTTTTTACAGTATTATCTAATCGGCAAATGTTTTTTCTTCGTTAAAAGTAAGATGGAACGACGAGAGCGGATAGTTTGAAGCGTAAGACTTCCTAGACCAACAAATTCAAGCCTAATCATCGTGAAGCCCAGCAAGTCTTATCTTTTAATCATATCTTTGGATGAACAGAGAGAGACAATTCAAAATGAATTGGTATATATCTGGTAATATTTCAAGAAGCGAAATGCTCAATTATTAAATTCATTTTCCATTCCATTTGGTTCATTATTTTGTTCACATTACCTACTATTTTCTTAAAATGCAATTTACAGTGTCTTCCTGGTTACGAAGGAACGGGATGGGGAGAGAGAGAATAATATAACTCAAGTTGTGATGCTTCCATCCCACTCTATTGTAATACATATACAGAATATTTTTCTGCCCAAAATCAACTAGGTTAATGAAAGAAGTACTCGTCGCTGAGTACACTATGGCAAAATATGTTACTTAAAAAGCAGTGGATTTCAATGAACAGAATATCACTAAAATAGTTCTACATTTCGATTTCGAGTTTTATGACTTTATAGATTGTTGCGAATAAAAAATGTTTAATTCGACACAAAATTTCAGACTAAAATTTCTACGTGTGACACATATATCCATCACTGCATCATTGCCCATCACTTGGATTAGTGAAACACGTCCATCTAGTATGCACTACTTTTCATTAATCTGGTTGCAGATTTTCAATAGCTAATTCAATTTTAACCCGTCTGTTTAATGATGAATTAGAGTGATACATCCCATTTGGTTCTTGTGCTTAAGATACTATTATGTAAACTATTCTCACTTTATCTTAGCTATTTGTCATTCTTCATTCAGAAGCATCTGCTAGGATTTTTAACTTTTACTCCTTTGACGGATGCCGCTTTCCTTTCTTTTTTAGCTTCCTTTGAATTAACCGAGATCTGTTTAATATCAATTCAGTATCAACGTGCACGTCATTCATAACACGATCTATGCGACACAACAGAGAATGAGGAGGAAATCATGAACCAATCTATTCAAACGACCATCACTTCCACACATTAACGAGATAAACGAAGTGGGGTACTAATGTTAAACATGATCTCCATGTCCTTACATTTCCATCAAAAATCAGAAAAGTATATTTTTTTAATATTTTAAATAAACTTATGTATGATTTCTCCAGCAGTAACTTCGACAATAATTTCATGATGGTCTTGGGAATGTTGATTCGAAGAATTTATTGAACATCCGTAAACGTGAGCTATAAGTATCCAAAAAATTGTTTCGTAAAATCCAGTTTCAGATCTTTCCGAAATTCAATTATTTTCTCTTAATTTAATGCACATGACATATTTCTAATGGATTAAATTGCTAAATCAACCCGGCTTCCCATATCGTGGACAAATGATGTTCCAAATCCTTGCTGTGGAATGGGAAATTTAAACAAATCCGAGAAACAAAATCTTTTTCGAACATATACAATAATGAAAAAAATGTGGCTGAAGACAAAGTGAATGCTCTGAATCAAATGATGCTTTAGGCTGAAAACTGTACATAACTTCCCAACATTATTCTAAATTCTAATTGAATAAAATCTTTCATTTCTGGACGAATATCAAAAATAAACAAAAAAAAAAAAAGAAACTTGTTATTTGTGTAGGACTCATATTTTTTTCATCAGCTCAATTGTAAGCAGTTAGTTACCAAATCCTTCACTACTGTGTGCGAAAGAAAAAACTGTCAAACTTATTTATTTGTCGTTTTGTTTAGTTTCTCTCCTGAAATAACAGATAAACATGCGTCACGACATTTGCGACTGTCAAATCGACTTTATACATTAATAGCTACTTTCTGTCTAACGAGAACTTCAAATGCTCCAATATATTGCTTATTGTGACAGCAAATTTGCATTCGAGTTACTTTTCAATCATCCCCCGGACCCCCAAAATTTCCGATAACTTAATCTTCGACTTTCCGTCGTATATGCAAAATTAAATATCACTAAGACTTTGAAATTAGCGGAAGCAAGACTTTTTAGAAATATTACCTAACAACCACATGATTAAGTTTATAGAAAAAATGAAACCAATGCAAATATATATTTTTAAAAGAATTTCATTTATGACATCAAAGCTAAAATCGTAATTTAAAGAAGCTCTAAGCTACAAAAGAACACTGAAAAAATGTTCAGAAATGTGCTAACTTCTCAGACTCAGAAGGATTTACCGTTTAATTTTCCCGGCTTCATCCCTTCCTTTTCCAAAACATTTCTTCGAAGAAATCGTAAAAACTTCTGCAACACTTAAGTTTGCTAATAAAACTAGATTAAGACAAAACCTCGAAAATGAGTCAAATATTATATATTTGAAAGAAGAAAAAAAAAAGAATTTAGCAAAATGTTTCTACAATAAACATAAGATAGAAAATCGCAAACGATGAAAGTGATTTCATGAAAGATTTAAACTCCAAAAATAAAAAAATTTTACAAAAAATATAAAACATCAGAAAATATTAAATTTCTCCATGGCAGCATAACTCATAAATAACTGCAAGAAATTACCACCAGGACGAATGCAGTCATTAAAAAAACAAATCAGACAAACTAAAAGAAACCATTAAACAAGTAGTTAACGTGAAACTGAAAACATTTATGAATTAAACAACAAGTGCGATATTTTTCGAAGTGGCATAAAGTTGAAATCTTGAAAAAATATAATATAGAATCGTAATTTAAAGACGCTCTAAGCTACAAGAAAGCATTATTCTTTTCCGTCTCTACTATATTATTCATTTTTCTCCCTTCTTTTTCATTTTTTGCATGTTAGGTTTATGTCTGCATGCCATTACTGTTAGCACGATGACCATTAGAAAATAAAATGGATACAAAAAACATACTTAGAAAAGTGAGTAATAGTAAAGAAAACCGGTCTGTATATTGTGGATACAGGAATACAAATGTCCATAGTATCAGAAATTTCACTGAAATACATGTTTATGAGATATTTTGCCAAAAAACAAAAGAATGAATCTCGATTCTCGAGTGTTACGCATATTTAGATCTAATTTCACTCTGTTCTCAACCAATGAATTAAACTTCCTGAAGGAAAAAAAAAAAACCATCTAAATGGTCTTCGAATTAAAATTATAGAAAATCAATATGCGCAAAACAACATTTTAGTTTTTATGAATTATCTCGACCAGATTCTTTTCATCAGGAAAGGAAAAATGTACAAAATCTATAATATCTTACGAAATTACTGTTCCCTCAAAAAGACATTTTTCTCAAATCTTTCAACTAACCGAAATCTTTAAGCTTACCAATGAAAATGACTTGGACATACTGACCAATGCGTCCTCCTAACACATTCGCATTTTGATTCCATCCATTATTTGTTGCGATATCAGCTGCTGCATCCAACGATACACCTCTTATTGCTATCAATCCTGGGTCTGGGCCCATTACTGCATTATATCCATAACGAAAAGCCCGTGAGAAAGCGTTTTGCACTCGTATTAATCTAAAAATGTCAAATTAATTACTTTAAAACATAAATGAACAAAAACCATCAAATAAGCTTTGGAAAGTTAGATAAAACTAATCTACAAAACTAATTTGCCAAAGATCAAGGATTTAAACTGAATGATAATTTCACCTTTAAGTTTTAGAATCACTTTGATTTAGAGAAGTTCAACACTCTCCCTGCTCAAATATCTTCGGTTATTCTTCTAAAAGTTAGTGGAATAAAAGATAACACATACATAGGATCATTTTGATTGTCTTCTATAGAACGACCCCGAAATGTCTGAATAACTGTATGAGTTAATTCTTCTGCTGTGTGGGCTGACACCGACTGTGAACCAGCAATGGCTGCGATAGCTGCTACAGCTGTTCCATTTCTTAGACCTGAAAACATCGTGATAAATTAATTACTGAATCAGCAAAACCTACCACTCTCAATCTGATTTCTTTCCCTTTACCAAAACTTACCACATCTTTTCTAATTTTATTCCTCTAAACGAATTAACTGAGTCCATCAACAAATGTGTTGAAATCACCATATAAATAAATAAAAGTCAATATCCACCAAATTTTCCGTTATTTAATTTATTAAAAAAATCTGTACTATCTTTAATTTATAAAATCAGTCATACTTTCTTAGTCTTTGATGAGTTAATCTAAACTGAGTATAACAGTATTAAATGTAACTATGCGATTAGCATGGTTAACAAATCAGCACGGATATAAGAATAATTAAAAGTGAAGATAAATCTTCTTCATATGGGAAATATGAATGAATAGATGACTTTTCCCTTGTTATAAATTACTCACTACATGTGCTAGTGAAATTATCTAGTATAGATAAAGATAATAAATTCTTTGCAGTCATGAATGAATATTTGAGATAAATCATACAGAAATGGAGCATTTGTCTTCATTAAATTTATGTCTTCATTCTCTGAGTTCTGTATAAACTTCAACTGCCTTTACGATGTTGCATTTTCGAACATTATTAAATCTGATATGTAATATAATAAAAAAAAAATCAAAATTTTCAAATTCTTCAACGTAAAGAACCTCTCAATTCTGACACGTTCACAAATTAAAGAAATATCTCATTTTCAATCTTTGAGAGATAAAGCAGAAAGAATTTCCATACCAGAAGATTCGTATGATAAAACAGCATTATCCGATGTGTTCGAAATTGACGAGGAAGGCTGTGCGTAAGGTGTAGAACTAACATGACAATGTACAACGCACTGATCATGTAAACCGTAACTTAATAATGATCGTGTATCATCTCGTAGTAATTGCCCGCGATAAATCAATCGTACTATTTTTCCCGCAAGCATTGATTCCCAGAAGTAACGCCTAAAAGTTATCAGAGCTCACCAAGGTCTCGAAAGTTCTTTCCCAATTGATGAATATCAAAAGTCTGGATAAACTAATTTAAGCCTTCAGCACCAGCTATCAAAGATATCGATCCGCCGTAATTTCAGTACCTTGTTTTACCCAATAATGTGACGAATGCTACCGTGTTCTACTACATCTGAACTTTCTCCTGAAATGCTCTTAACTACATTATTCTTTGAAATATAAGACATTTCTCTCAACAAGAAAAATTCGATCCGTTTATAACTGGGTCGCGTTGTATTCGCAGAAGTATATCATTTTGCAACTGAATCAAGTTCTTCAACAAAACAATCTAATCATGCAAACGCAGATGCAGAGAATTCCAATATTAACAATCCGCAAATCAAGAGTAATCCCAAAAATTAGATTTGCAAAGAGATACAATTCAAAAAACTAACAAAGACCTCTTAAACTGCCCCACAGTAGCTTCCAGAGCTGTACAAGCAGTAACCTGAGAGTCATCCAGGAACTTTAATTTTACATTAGATAAATGACACCCAGCATTATCACCTTCCATTCCCTCAGCGAGTTGACAAGCTGAATCTGAAATTATTGGCCTTTTAAAGTCATTTAAACAGTCAGATAAAACCAATGAAAAATTTTTTCATTCTTTATCTTTTTAGAAAATTCATTTTTCGTTTAAATTTTATTCCTTCACTCCATTTTTCGTGACTTCATAAATTTCTTTTTTTTTTTTTTTGAAAGATATGTGTCTAGAGACCAAGACATTTCAAAGATAAAATGGGAATTTGAATCACAATCATTAGAAATCCGCTAATTTTCCATTTTCATTTAAATGATTGTTTTACCAATGAAGAATCCTCTCACAACTTACTGGTAACAACCGAAGATAATTCACATTTTGTATCAGTTTGCGAATTCTTTCTACTTTCAATCTAAATTAAGGAATAATTTATGCGTTCAGAGTCATTCTTTGAGACATGATAATTTAAATGCAGAAAAGCTGGTAACAATTGAGGATAATAAAAAATTTGAATTATTTTGAATCATCAAGATAGGATCAAGAATTACTCCGATCACTAAAATTCACATATATATCACGACAGAACAAGCCAATACATTTCTGTCCTGGACTTATCCCATATCTGTATTATCTCCCAGAGTTACCATCCAGCTAATAACAACTTGTTTCGTGCAAACCTAATAACCAATAACAAGATGTCTTCTTGACTTGTTCAAGTCTTTTGTGACATGGACTGATATTCCAATATAAGGGATGCACTTTTTTATGTATCGGTAAAATTTGAATAGAAGAGCAAACTTTTGCATAATAAATACTTGAACTCACTGAAGTTGAAGCTGAAAGATCTGCATTTTGTTGCCAATTAACAATTTCCGCCCCCATAAAAGTTGCATGGAGTAAGCTTTCCCTGTTTTCTGCTAGGATTATTGCCTAAAAATACGCTGATCTGAAACTTAAACCTGTATGTGAACATTTCCTGATCAGTAAATAAAAATACTACAAACAAGTCTAATTAATAACGGTTAATTTATGTGTAAAAAGCCTGCCTATTTACTTCTGCCAACTACCATTATCACTGATTTTCAACCGATCGAAATTCATTTATGAACTGGATAAACTGAGACCTACTGTCAAGTCCTTCCTTTAAAGCAAATATTTGTAAAAATATAAGAAGAAAACAGGGTAATAAAATTAAACCTGACTTCATACACATCAAATCAGGACTATGTTGGACAGCAGAAAATGAATACTACTGTATTTAAAGAAAAAAAAAACCTGTTCCTGCGATATTTCTTGTGTATGCAGGGAAGTATCCTCATCTCTGGAAAAAGGAGAGGAATGACTACAGTTGGAGTAATGAAAGAACGATGTTTTCAAAAAGAATTTTAATCAAATACGGAAAATAAAAAAAAAGAAAGGAAAAAGCGAACAAATATTTTAGCTAATTACTTTAGCTAAACATTCCAGAAGATGAAACTCAAGCACTCGATAAGGCTCGAGGAACAATAAAATAATATGAAATTACGACTAACGTTTGTCCTTGCGCCATTCCCTCTGTCTGAGGTAACATTACTTCTTCAGAAGTGTTACTTTGTTCCATGATACCAGTGTCTATGAATGCTTCAAGTGCTTGCTCCGTAACCGCACTAAGAGGTCGTCTCTCTCGACGATCTCGAAATAAATTGACTTCCTGATTATCCACTTGCAACACCTAAATTCTAACAAAAAAATCAGTCCTTCAAGTACTTCATTTTTGAAACGACGCCCTTTATTATTAGTAGTTAACATCGGCCGGCTGCCCGACTAAACGTTATAGTAACGGCTTCACACTCAAAGTCTGAATGACGCTGTCATTTCGTTCGTTAATGGATTTCGAACGTCCCAAGTGAAGAAATGATTGGGAATCACAAAACCACCTGAACAACCCGTCTATTGGGACGAATCTGCATTTGAACAAGCCATACGTAATAATCTACTGGTGGTATGCCAGTACTGATCCAAGCAAGTGATATTAACACAATGACAATTACTGTTATCAAAAACCAAATGACCTGAAAAGGCTTCGTCCAAGAAACAATTAACAACCTACTTATTTTCCCTGAAATTTTGACACTGTAACCAAGAATAACACAAGTAAACCAGTACGTAATTTGTTTGAAGTTAAGATTTTAGCATCATTTTTAGCTCCAGAGGAAAACAAAGTACGACATTATTTTTAAAATATTTTGCAATGGTAAATAACAAGATGGTCAAAGCTTGAATTCCACAATTCCTAGGAATGTCACAATGAAATCTTTTTATAAAAAAGCTCTTTCTTTCTTTTAGATATCAACAAAAATTTATTGCTACAGCAGTTGAAAATCAAATAATTATTTCGGTGTTGTTCCTACGAGAAATTAACAACTATTCAAGTAATCTACTGATATATTTGGATTCTGAATGATCTTAATTGAGAAATCAGAATTAACTAACCTCATCGCCGATGCCTTCAATAAAACCAGCCATGCGATACGTGTGCTATAATGAAAACCGAATTATGAAAGCAATGTCGTTAAATCCAACACGGACCATCCCTCCTCGAACCAAGCCTTCGCTAATCTTTGAACACCGAACACCCTACAACTCAACCGATCAATCCGGTGCGCAACAATATTTCTTAAGGTCCGTTGAAATCTAACGTCCATTCGATTATTTGCAAGAAATAACTTGGATATTTGGTAGGTGACAAAATGAGAGGTAGGACAAGTGACAGGGGATTATGCGAGTCATCAGGGAAAGCAGAAGAGGAGAGCAATCCGTACTCCACTGATTGTTTATACTGTTTCACTCATATTCCAATTAGTTTTATTTGACTAGAAGTTAAATCATCGTTATTTAACAACTGCGGTTGGGGTAATTTTGATTGATATAGAAGAGCGATCACTGTTTGCAGTATGTATTCGTGGCTTATCATAGATCAGTAAGGACTGATTATCATAGGTCAGTAAGGATTGCATTCTGCTGTCTGTCATGTCACGAGTAAACAAGTGGTTCAATTATCCTGCACTGCAAGATTTTGTAATTATTCCTCATGATTTTTATTACTGTAAAGTATTTAAGGAATACATTGAAGCATTTGAAAGTCATTTTACTACAGATTTAAGTGTGTGGTGGTTTTCCAGAAAACAGTTTGCAGTCTTAGTTATGAAGGCTCATCATGTCCTCCTTTTTTTAAGGATTCTAATGGTAGTAAGTTATTTTACTATGATTATGGAAGTTTGAGTTGATGAGAATGTAATTGTATTATGTATAGCAAATTGAGATACATATTTACTTCCAGAATGAACTGAAATTTGGTCTCCTGTTCTATAAAAGTTGACAAATTCTGGAAAGATCACTCTCTGCTTTGCATCTCATTTTCCTATCCTTTTTTTAAAACTTCAGTTCTTCTGTATATGGGTGTTAATATGTGGAGCAATTATGGCATCACATTATTCATACGGTAGCCGTGAATCGTTGATCATTGCCATAATATTGGATGCGTTACTAATGGTTTTTTGCATTTTCTTGATTGTCGATGTCTTGAAAAGATATTATCTGCAGTTTCCAGTGGTACTGTATGCTTATCTGATACTAAGAATCTTTCTAAAATACATGGAAAATTATGAGGATAATTTACACTGAATACAATAGTATGATTTTGGATTAGTAACTTCAGTGTTTTGCGCTTAATGTCATCACAAAAAAAAAAAACAAAAATATATATCAAACCAGTTGAATCAGATGCACTGGACTGGTTGATGCTTTCTATAATTTTACCGTAGCACTCCCTATGAAACAATATAAATGCTTTTGATTATACATTGTAACTTGGGAAAACTTCGGCCTTTCGAAGTTTTGAATTTCTCTGAAAAACGACACAGTAAGATCATCAACCTTCAACTTCTGATTGGAACTTTTCTGTAAGAGCGGAAATAGAATTACAGTGTTTCAACTAGAACCTCTTGTCTACTCAGGTGTACAACAGGTCGCAACTAATTTCGCGCTAAGTAATGATAATTGTTAAAAATGGCAAAGACATATTCAAATCATCTTTTCTGTGTCCTCACATCGTATGCATCTGTACTTCTTTTGTTATTAATCATTTATTTTAAATTATTCCATATGTAAGATAATGCAATTCAGTGTATAGTCAATCTGTCAATAATTCGAGGATGAATTTATGAACTTAACAGCTCACACTTCAATCATTTGAGAAATGACAGTTCTCACATGTCAGATATTTCAGCTAGTATACATAACTCTTATCGCCGTTATTATTGCTGGAATTGTTTCATGGATGATTACAGCATCTGCAACAGTTGATGTAATGGGCACCGTAACTATCGTGAGTTCTCAATCTGTTGAAAATTATCGTAAAGAAGAGAAAGGAGTCAAGTCAAGCCCTCCTTTTCCTTTCCCATATTCTCGACATACGTCGATATTACCAGATGTCATGGATCTTAACAGTTTTGTTGTGTTTTTAGAGATTATTGGGTGACTTCCACATCTTGATATTATTACAAGCATTATAATCAGTGAATTAGAGTTATTTTTTCAATACGAATTGATGACTAAAGACAAGAGTGCTGCATTACCGGGAAGGGAAAATAGCAAACTGATGCGAACTGTTGGTCGAGTGATATTTCTTGAAAGAAGAAAAAGTGTCAGTAAATTAAGTTTTAGGGCAATGCATGGCACACAGTTACATGTCTTATGATGGATTCTGTGACTCAGCGGTATGTAACGGGCTCAGGTCAACTTTTTTATACTCAAACATCATCACAAACACGTACTGGAAGCACAGTAGTATAATATATCCAATGTATTTGGTGTCATCGATGGGTAGCAGTAGTCCTATTTCCACTCTTTTTTTATGAAAACTTTTGGGTTCGGTTCCAATGTTCCCATAGGAAAAAGCAAAAATAAACATTTTCTTGGTTGCTTTGCGCTCTTACCATTCGTAGCATGAAGTGAACGTTTTAAGTTTCGCAGTTTTGCGTCGTATTTTTACTAAATCTTTTTTTTTTTTCAACCATCAAATTACGTTTTGCAATATTTGTTCATGTACAACATCACGGAAATATTGAAAATACTTTAAATGACTTATTTTCTACTCGAAAGCTTTTAAGTAAACATATAAAACGTATGAGTATGAAAAGAACAAAAGCAAGCTTGCTGGACAACAGCTGGTAGAAAATAAAACGCAAGTTTCATACATCACTATAAATTAAAAAAAAAAAAAAAATTATCGAATAAGTTGTTCATAAGATATGAACTTGAATTTGTTTCATTGTTGCAACATGTATCAAATCAATATTATTTTCGGCCTTTCAGGAAACTATTTCAAACTATCCAAATAAGAAGTTTTAAATTTCCCTATCAAAATCACTCATTTTCTGAAAGAGCAATACTTCGGAGCCACTGAGTATGCCCAGCTTTCCAGCATGAACAATACTATTCACTGTACCAGCCAGAAATACTCGTTTAAAACGAAGAAATCCTTTAGGCATAATGTGAAGCGCTTGTGCAATCGAAATTATCCAGTCAATCAAAGTCGAACTGCAATTAAATGTCAGACGGCTTCTTGTGAATTTTATTGTGCTTGAAAACGAAGTTTGGAAAAAAAAAAAAAAAAGGGATTAGTGAGTAGCTAGCGCTATACCTTATCTTTTTCATTTCCACTTATAATGATGTGAATGGACACTGAATACGTGCAAGTAAGGAGAACGTTTTGGCCATCTACGGTTATTATTGTTTTCCTACAGGAACATCATTTATCGTAACTGGGAAAATCAAATCAAAAAAAAAGCAAGCTGCACTTAAAATCGAGAAAGGGAAAAATTGTTCACCAATTAAATTTGAAATGAGTATTATATTGCAATATCGATTAGTGGTAGATTATGGGGAATGGAGATAAAAATGACTGTCATTATTTAAAAAATTATTTTACGAAAGCAATGATATAAAGTCTTGTTCAAGAAATTTTGCAAAGACACTGTCTATTTCTAAAGAAAACAGATATTGCTTTGTTTCTAAAAAAAAAAAGTATGTGAAAAGTAAATAGATTTCAATAAATTTTAACAAAAAAAGTTATGCCAAAAAAGGTACTCAATGTCATATTCTTCCAAAAATATGGGTGTGAATTTGGAATTCTTCGTCCGTGAAGCGAGCTAAGCAGTGATGAGATAGATCCATCATTCAAATAAAATCAGTTTTAATAAGATTTTAACAAAGAGAAATTAAAACGAAACCAACCTAATAAGCCACATGAACAAAGGAGAATGGGAAAAGCAAAAGTAATAAGGATTTCCAGTTTCTTCGTCAAGATTGATATTTTCTGCCAGTTCCAAGCCATAAAGTTTTGCTGCATTGATTATTTCTTCCCTAAAATCGTAAATTTCAAGAAAGTGGATTCAAAGACTGCTGAAACAATATATGGGAATGCTCATTATCTTTAACTCCACTAGCATCAATTTCTGGTATATTTTAATATGTTTAATTCAAAGCTTGAAAAAACAACAAAAAAATATTATTGTAGTTTTAACAAATACAAATGAAATCAAATAGTCATTTAAACGTACGTTAAGAAAAGCTTACTTGGTGTGCAAAGGAGGCATTCCACAAGCATACTCTAAATTCTTAATAACTGTTTTATGTTCCTTTGAGGAGGAATGATATTTATCAGTTTTCAGTAAATCATAAACAAGGAAAAAACCACCCGGACGCAAAATTCGATTTACTTCTTGCAGTGCTGGCTTTAAATCTTCTAAATATTTCAGTGCGTAGACCTAAAAAAAAGCACTAAAACTTAAGCTGACACTTTTCGATGCACTTTCTACATCATGAATTGATATGGGAAGTTCCTCTAACTCAGAAATTACTTTAATCACCTAACGCATTATACGATATTTTATAAAGTATAATATTCGGAATTTGAGATATTGCTCAATTATGCATAATGCACGCTCATCGCATCAAACAAAGCATCCTTAATTGAGCTTACCGCATATGCGCAATCATAACGGTTGTCTACCAGTGGTAGGCAGCAATAATTTCCCTGCACGATGCTGCAGTTCTGGAGACCTTCATTTTGGAAACGTTTGTTTCCAATTATCACCTCGTTTCCTGCTATTGTTACACCAGTCAAATCAGCCCCAGTAAAGGCTAAATCATACATAACACCACCTATACCACATCCAATATCTACACATTTTTTGCCTGAAATTAAACTTTACGACCAGTTCCAGCATTACTGTAGTCACGTCATTTTTGCAAAACTAATCAAATGTAAATGCTACCTTTAGTAAGTTTCAAGCATTGACCGATTCGTTCATGAAGTTCTTGTAGTGCATCTGCGAGTGTTTGCTGTCTGAGACGAGGTGGAGCAAAATGAAAACTTCCGTTAAAATATTCATCAATAACGGTGGACATAACGGAGTAGTAATGCGCTGTAACCATTGAATAGTCTGATTTTGCTTCTGCTTCTCTGTACAATCGGTCATGTTCTTCAGCAAATGTTTCCTTAATTTCAAATTCATCTTCCAGTTATCGCAAAAGGCAAGGTTAAAATGAAGATTCTGAAGATCCCACATCGTTTGAAAACTCAAAATTTTTGGTTCAGAACATTTTTTATTCTGCCCTACTCCAAATTCAATTCTTCTTTAAGCAAATCGATTTTGTCCTAAATATATGGCGAATACTGCATACTTGTAATGCATACTTATATGATCAACAATTCTTATCCATTAACGAATAATTTACATTAGCTTTATCTCTCGATAGAACGAACTATTGCAAATACAATCACATTATGCAAATGATAAATGAAAAATTCATGGGGTGGAAATCACACAGTGAGAACAAAAGTACTTGAAATACTCAAGATTTTCTTTGTGATATACTAGGGAACAAAAAGGTGCAATCAGAATAAAGGAGTGAAAGGACATAAAGTGAAAGTACTCTGATACATTGCATATGAATTCGCCTGGCACTCGTTCATTTTTGGATCCAAATTTCCGTCCCGAATTTAGGCATAGCTCTTAATAGAATGCTCTCTCTCTCTCTTAATAGAATAGAACGCCATATAACGTAAACCAAATATCATACGTTTAAAGTTGTTAACAGGATCAAACATTGAAGAATCTTCTGGAGAAAACTATATACACTTCGGAAAAATTGCTTTTTTATCTTGAAATCGTCCTCTATCAATTGTTAAAACAATTATATAAAAAGCTGTACAGTTGTATTTTTATTTGTTTACTTCATAAAAATCCGAAAAAATCATCAGGGCTCATATTTCGGTTTAGGAAAATCACAAGTCATGAGTGGCTGAACAAGCAAATGATTTCATCTGCAGATTCAAACAGTAAAAGAATTTGAAATTCCTTGTACAATATGAAAGGCAGTAAAACAAAAAAGGCTTTAAAGATCTTGAAAAAACTAACAAATCTTGTGCCCCTTCTGAAGAAATAACAGAGTGTCTTATTTGACAGAAAAAAGCAAGTTACCAAATCTTCTCGTCGGAAATGTCGTAGTAATTTCAAAAATTTCGACGCCAAATTAATCGACATGATGAACAGAATGTTATACGAAATGATCGTTTTTCTGTGGACGAGGGATTCCGCGAAGTGATCATGAAAGTCGGTATCGGTACTGCATCGCAACACTATCATGATTGTAACGGTCCTGCCTCTTATCACCCATGCAAAAATAAGGACAGGACTATGCCGGGTGTGTCGGTATACGCATACATACAAACACACATACATACATACACATACACACACATCTACAGGAAATATTACAGCTGCGATTACAAATGTCTTATACGGCGCAAAGGACACACAGAAAAACCATACCTTTCTATACTCATCATCTTCTAATCATAAAAAATCTTAAATATACAGATGTTTCGATGAAATTTCTTAAAGTAGGGGAGATTTCTTTAAGATGACATAGAGGGACATGAAATATCGATTTTTCAAGTAGTTGACCACAAAAGTAGAAAAATGATTTCCATTAATATAGCCAAGTGTCTGTGCATACAGTTAAGTGTCTAAAATCAATCCTTATTTTTTGTTTAGCAAAAAACATGCGTTGATAAGTCTGGAAACATCAAAACTGATCACTTTTCTTTAATTGTTCGCATTGGAAACAGGTAAACGAAGAATCAGTGTTTTGGTGAGTGCAGCTGCACGGATACCGCTGTAGCCCTAAAAAAATTTTTCAATTTGCATATAATTACAAAATGATAACTTATGAAGGAATAGTAAATCAATATTTCAAATCCCAATTTCTTTTCTGATTTACTTCAGTAAAAACCTTTATTTGTATGGCTATTAATCAACATGCTATTATTAATTAATCAGATACTAACAGCAGAACTATAATTTTCTACAAAAGGCTCATTCTAGGGTTAAGGAGACATGAATACCAGAAAAAAATACAAATGTTTCTGGGATATATGTCTATAGCATTTTCGACAAGTTTGACTAAATAAAAACTGAGTAAGTAACTGAATAAATATTATCCAACTAGTTCATCTCAAAAGAAAAAGATTTACAAAACAAATTCCTCTACCTGCCACACACGACTGGCGCGACTTTGTCCATGCTGATAATCTGCAATACCACGGATTAGTGCCCAACTATCAATTCGTGAGCCATTCACGGCGGCAATAACGGAATCGAAGCCAGCATCAATCGCACGCAAATTATAATTTGCGGCAAATTTATCACGAAATTGAGCAGTAGCACCGCTTGTATCTTCACCAATCTCAAACAAACTGCTGTAAGAGCTCATCAGCAATCTTC